ACCGGGGCACGAACCCGTGTCCCCTGCATCGGCAGGCGGACTCTCAACCACTGCACCATCAGGGAAGCCCGACCTTCCTTATTTTAAAAGTAATGCTCAAGGCAGTTCTCCGGTGGCCTAGTGGTTAGGATTCCCGGCTTTTACTGCCGTGGCCTGGGCTCAATCCCTGGTCGGGGAACTGAGATCCCTCAAGCCACGCAGAAAGGCTGGAAAAAAAAAAGTAACACTCATTACACAAAAGTGACAGAGGAGCAAAAGGAAAAAAAACCACCTACAGTCCCACTTTCCACATTCACATTTTGTGCAGAGTCCCTCAGTCACACACATTTTTGCACACACACAGACATCCCCATGGCCCCCACTGTCCTGTCCTAGGATCTATTTTATTCACCTATTATACAGTGAATATTTCACATGAACTATTCTTTAAAAACACTTTGGATGGGCTACCAGTTGTCTATGGCGTGGATGGGCCATCGTTTATAAAGCCATCCTCTATTGTGGGATATTTTGTTTTTTTCAGAATATCTTTCCCTTGAGTCCCTCTGATGCTGAAGTGATGTTGGCCCACACTGCAGGCTGAGAAGGCCACTTGGATTGGTGGCACTGTCTTGCCAGGAAGGACTCCTCCAGGATTTGTTCCCGTGGGCTTGGTCAAAGTTCCCAGAGGCTGCAGCCCATATTCTACGGTACAACACACTGAGATGGCTCAAGGCATGAATTATGGTCAGGTGAGGGGATCAAACTTGACCCAGGACTTCTGGGTCATAGGCATAGGGTCCACTTTCTGCCCTTGAACCCACAGAAGCCCAAGTCCCTGGCCTCAGACCATCCACTTCCTTGCTCAGCTGCTTGGGTTGTCCTTGACTACGTCCTCAGTGTTGTCCTCACCTGGGCCTCTCCACAAACACGTCCTCAGGGAGCATGTACGGAGCCTCTTTCTTCCTGCTCTCTATCACCTGAGGTTTGGGAGGAATCGTGAGAAAAGCTGGGGTCAGCAGGGACAGGGAAATCCAAACAGGCCAGTGGAAGAGTTCCCGCTCCCCTGAGCACTTCCTCCCTCCCACGAACCCCCTGGAAGAGCACCCATGGCTGGGCTTCTGAGGGAGAAACTCAGACCAACAGGGACCTCAGGGCAGCCTGTGAAGCCCAGGAGGACTACTCAAGCTGTCTCCAGTGACACACATGCGTTAAGTGTCCTCCAAAGGCAGGGGACTTAGCTCCCAAGAGAGTTCAGTTTCTTGCTCCTGTGTCCTATTCCTGTTTTCTGTTTAAATGCAAAAAAGGGAGCATAGGTCCCACTGTTCCCCAAACCCAGGTGCACTGCAAAAACACCCTGATGGAGAGTGACATGGCGAGTTTCCCTCAGCATCCTTTGCAAATTTTTGACAAGAAAGCTGACAGTTATTAAGATGCCGAGAAGTGGGAGGACGCTTGGCATGAAAGTATGTGCAGGAGGTGAGAAAACCATGATGCTACTATTTTTACTGAAGCGGATGTGGGGGCATTGCCTTTCCTGCCCTCCTGGATCAGCCCAAGGCTGGGAAGATCCTGCCTCATTCAGGGTGGTCTCTGGCACAGCAATACAGCACCTTCCTCCATGCCCGCAGCCAGCCCAGGCCAGCTGAGACCTGAGCTTTCTTGTTTAGTTTTATTTTGTTTTGCTAGTGTCTTTTAAAGTTAATCCTACATATTATATCATTCTACCTATACATAGTTCAGTATGTCTTAAAATGCTTTTTTGCAACAACTGAGAACATTTGATTATAGACCGGGTATAAGATAATACCAAGGCATAACCGATAATTTAATTAGGCATGTAAATAGCACAGCAATTAGGTAGAAAGGTGTCCATAATTTTTTGGACACATACTGATATATGCAGAGGTGAAACGACATGATAGTCAAGGTTTGTTTGAACACATTTCAGCAAAGAAAAAGGAAAGGAGACACAGATGAAGCAAATATGGAAGAATCTTCATAAGTGTTTAGTTCGTGTGACAGCTGTGTGGATGTTCACTGCCCCACTCACATTGCTTTTGTGATATTTGAAAATTTTCATAACAAAAACTTTCCTTAAAGTAGCTTTAGTCCCAGGTGACCTGAGAGATGTGGGTATGTGCACTTCCAGGAGTGGGGGGCGTATAAAGGGGCCGGAAGTAGAGGAGGGCAGGTAGCAGGTTGGGAAGGGGTACAGGATACTGCCTGTGCCTGACCCTGCCCTACTATGTCATGTCGTACAGGAGGAGTCACTACCGCTGAGAATTTCTCATCATTAGTTCTCATGCCTAGACTAAGCACAGGGCTCATGCAATTAAGCCAAAGTTGCTCTGGGGAAACCCCAAGTCAAGGGCCTCCTGAGCTCTCAGAGTCACGAGGACACCAACCTCGCGGATGTGCTGGCAGAAGGCAGGCACTGTCGTGAGTTGGCTGATGAGGTTCAGGTAGGCGGCACCCAGCGCGTAGAGGGCACAGCGGTTGTAAACAGGCAAGTTCTCTTCATTGACCTGGGCCACGTCCTGTAGCAACACAGAGGGAACAAACTATACTGGTGCCCCACCCTCCAGCCACCCTCTACCAACCTCCTTTAGAGGTGGCCCGCTACTCAAGACAAAGCCTTTTCCAGCCTTTTCCCCATAACTTCCTGGGGAACAGAAGTCGCCCTCATTAAAGCTGAGCAAATGGTCCTTAGAACAATCCATGAGCTGGAGGCTCATAAATACTTGAGTGGAGAGGCGATGACCTCAGTGCCCCACTCTGCATCTCCAGCTGTAGGGAGCTTGACTGTCCAAACCCTCATGAATCCCACCTCTAGGATGCTGTCACCTTCACTACAGACCTTGGATGATTCTTGGAGGACTGGATTGGCTTGCTAAGCTGGGTTCATATGTTAAATTGACAAAGCTGTGTGAGTTACTAGGGGATCGGGACACAAAGGAATCTCAAATTCTAGAATGAAGACGATCGTAGCATCTGGGTTGGCCTTGCAGGACTTAGCGCCATCAAGCAGGTAGCTGAAGAGTCTCCACCACACAATTCCAGGTTTGCCACCATTCAGGATATGATGCCCACCTAGCTTTAGGACCCTGCTGACCCTGGCCTTTGAGGTCTGAAGGACCCGCCCCAATTCCCAGCATCTTGAGCAGTAGACTTACACCCACGCAGACCGTGAAAGTCTAAAGCCCTATCTAGTGCCACACTGGCTGCCTGAGAGTCACGAGGGGAGCTTGTTGAATCTCCAGATCCCCAAGCTTGGGGACAGAACTGGGATTATATATTTTTATTTTTATTTTTATATTTTGCGGTACGCGGGCCTCTCTCTGCTGTGGCCTCTCCCGTTGCGGAGCACAGGCTCCGGACGCGCAGGCTCAGCGGCCATGGCTCACGGGCCCAGCTGCTCTGCGGCATGTGGGATCTTCCCGGACAGGGGCACAAACCCGCGTCCCCTGCATCGGCAGGCGAACCCTCAACCACTGCGCCACCAGGGAAGCCCTATATATTTTTAATAAGTGCTTAAGGCAATTCTGAAGCCCAGCCAGGTTTGGGAACTAGGTAATCTTTAGACAAATGAGTTTGTATGGAGATGACTCCGGGCTTATGGGTACCCTCTTGGCAATCCTTGGAGTCTCATTCAGACCTTGCAAGAGACCCAGAATACTAGGGTGAAGGGATATTTTTGAAAGACCCTGTTTCCCGGGTCTCCTTTACTCTGAGGATGGGCCAAAGCCATGAATTCAGCATCCTTTGGTGGTTCCCCAAACAGGACCATGGTCTGTGGTCTTCATGGAGGAATGGCCAACCAACGGTGCAATATTCCTGGGCTCCAGAACAGTTGTTAAGCAGTAGTTACTTGGCACTCTCACTAGTGCTTGGCCAAAACAGGTGCCCTCCCCCGATCCCAACCCCTATGTCCCGCCCACAGGGGGCCCCACCTGGACAGCCAGCACCAGGCGGATGAGGTCCACCACCACCTCCTCGTTGGCCAGCTCAATGCTGATGAGCGCCAGCAGGCCGTAGAGCGCCTCGTAGTGCTTCTGTATGTTCGTTTCCTCCTTACAGCTCAGGTAGATGTGTCTGTAGAGCTGCTGGGAGTGCTGGAGATGGGGACAAGGGTGGAGGCAAGGCCACGGCGGGCAGGGTGGGGATAGGAGGGGCAAGGAGAATGGCAAGAGCAGTCTGAAGGGGGCGACACAGCTGTGTGTACCCCACCTCCGCCCTCAGGGACAGGATGCCTTTAAAGCAGACCCCAGTGGAATCGGGCAGTGCAGGAGTATGTGCTTAGGGAAGGTGGGTCCAGTGAAACCAGCAACAGAAGCTGCTGCCCAAATCCAGTCTTAGAGCACAGCCAAGGGATGCTCCTCACTCTGGCTTGGTGATAAGTATGACCTGGGGGCTTGATCCCCTAGAGCGGTTGGCTGGTCATCCTGACTAAGCATAGTCAAAGAGGAGGAAGTGGGTTCTAGGGGCCAGTGGCGACTTGGGGGCTGGGAGACTGGGGTCCGCAGGGCCTGACCCACCCGGGGTTCACTGTGTCTCGAGGTCGCGCTTGCTAACCTTCTTCATGAAGATGGTGTCCTGCCGGGAGCACTTGTCCACTTTCAGCTTCAGGACAGAGATGTCGCTGAGGGTACTGGGAGGGGACGTGAGGGGCCACCTCAGTCAGCCCTTGTGCGAGGCCAGCAGAGCTCACATGGTATCACTGGGCTCTATCCCAGTGTTGTTAGTTGTACCAATGCCTCCCTGTGTCCTCCTGCCCTGGTTCTTGGCCTGATCTCCACTTTCTCCCAAGTTCTCAAGCTCCTGTCTCTTTTCCCTTAAATACTGATCCAGATTATCCTCTTCCTTCCTCCCTTTCAGCCCCCCAGTCTCAACCGATAACCCTGCATGCCCTACTTTCCTCCCCACCTGAGAGCTCCCTTGGGCACCTGCTCTTTACCTCCCAAATCTCCCTCCCTTGCTCCACCAGGCACAATTGCCCCTTCAGTCTCTCATTCCCTTGTAGGACCCCAGGGTCCACGTCCGTGATTAGCTCCCTGGGGGGTTCCCACTGAAGATCTGAATCGTCTTCCCACCTGAGTGTGAGGTCCTAATGGGAGTCTCCTGCCCCATCACACACCAAATAGAGGGGAGACCCCAAGTTCACCTGATGGTGGAGAACTTGTGACGGTTGCCATGACGATCAATGAAACTGATGAGAATCTCTAGAACGAAGAGACGGATCTCTGCGTCCTCCATGAGGGCGGTGGAGAGAAGGCGGTCAAGGAAGTTGCTGGGCAGAGCTGACATCATGTTGTTGCACTGGAAGCCGGTGGATACCTGCAAGGGAGCCCAGCATCATGCGCTTAGGAACGCCGGCCCTCCTGGCAGCAGGTAAGAGACTGAGAGGCAGTCGGCAGAATTTGGGTCTGAAGCATCCATCCTCTCTAAACATCTCCCAGCCCAGTTTCCCCGTCCTCAACCTTAGGCAGCTTTTGGGAACCCTCCAACATCAACCTAGGCAACCCGCCCAGCTCAGCTTAGCTAAGTGGATGGGGACAGTATGCAGGGACATTAAGTTACTAAAAGCAAGCAAAGGATGAGCCCTAGAAGAGAGCAAAAGCCAGGGAGCCTCTGAACCTAATGTTTCAGCCCATTAGGGCACAGATGGCGAACATTCACCGTGAACACGCTTCATTAGGAGCACGAACAGTCACAAAGAAGGGGAGACAGTGGAAGAACTTACAGCTGGGCTGAGGAATTAGAACCCACGGACATGGCAACAGCCAAGAGCACACACAGCATTTGCTTACATCTCTTCTAGCATGGCCATAATGAGGGTCTTCTGATTAAAGCCAGCAGGCGTACAGAGACACCTCACCCATGATGGTGTCAAAGTAGTTAAAAGCAGCAAACCAGATTCACTGTTAAGTCCATATTGCAAAACAATGCCTTTGATGATTCAGCAGGCCCTTGAGGCTCTGGTAAAGCCTGGTGGCATCAGTAGTAAACATCAATGTTCACTGAAGGGGGATGTATTTGAGTGTGCCCCAAACTGTCACCTTGGTAAGACGCAGGGTACAAATTAATGACGGTAAACTCAGCAAAGAAATGGCAGGAGTACATAGACAAAGGAGGTACCAGATGTGGGCAGTGTCAGCACAAAAAGCCTTTATAAAAATAGTGCGACATGAAAGGTGTGGGCTGGAGAGAGGGGAGGGAGGGCGTGAGTGGGAGTGAGGGGGCTGTGCAGAGTGGCATGGTTAGAACAGAGACGGGTTGAGGGGTCACATGGGGGGTCTACGGAGGGAAAGGGGACTGAGGACCTTCCAATTTCAGTCTGAGAAGTTTGAAATCTGGATGCACATCAATTAGAAACTGAGATTTACTCTTTAACAAGGAGCAACACGTGAAGAACAACATTTCTAGAAAATTCTTCTTGGTTGTATTTATGATAGGTGAGGAGGAGGGAGCAACTATGAGAATAATCTAGTTCTGAGATGCCCACAGTTTAGGCCAGGGTTGTGCCTTGGGGAGCTTGTTACAAATACAGATTCCAGGACCTCACTCAGACTAATGGCTCAAAATCTCTAGGGAATCTATATGTTAAACAAGTTGGTCATAGGAACAGCATTTGAGAACAATAAATCTAGCCTCCAGTGATGGCTGCAAAGAAGGAAAGAAGACAAATGTAAAAAAGTTGATAAAGGGGGGCATTCCCTGGCAGTCCAGTGGTTAGGGCTCGGTGCTTTCACTGCCGGGGCCTGGGTTCGATCCCTGGTCGGGGAACTAAGATCCTGCAAGCCACGTGGCATGGCCAAAAATATTTTTTTTTTTAATTAAAAATTAAGTTACATAAAATAATTATGGTTATTATTTTTTTTTAATGGATAAAGGGAAAGATAGTGGCTGGGAGATTGAGGTGGTCATAAGTACCATGGGAGAAACAGGTGGAAGGGACCTGGGGAGATACTTGGAGGGAAAAAGGGCAGGAACCAATAGAGTCCATCTCAATACAGAGATAATGTTTGAGTGACAAGGCCATCAGTAGCTGAGAAGGTACCTTTGTGAAAGTTAGAAACAGGCATCCTGCCTGCTCTGGAAGACCCAGCCCTGTGGGTACCCCGCCTGGCTAGTGAGTGGAACACAGGTTGGATTTCAGCCCCCTACTCACCCCTTTGGCTGGGCATGTTTGTGCAGTGTGCAACCTGCACAACTGTATGTAGTAGCCTTGTCTTGTTTCCTTGGAAGGAGCTGCCTCCTACAGAGGCAGAGCAGG